TACGTACCTACCCCCCCACCCCCCCCCCCCCCCCCCTTTTTTTTTTTTTTCCTCCTCCCTCACAAGGCGCGACGCACAAAGGCATAAAAGACGGGCTTTGACGACATCGAGGCCCTTCGGGATGGGCCTAGCCTTTTGTCAGCTGGTGTAAGCGTCCAGGATTTCATGTCGAGGACGCTAACCTCTCTCGGCCTATTAGAGACTCAAGTGCCCTGGGGCAGCTTGAAATTCCGCATTTTCCCTTCCACACACAATCCTCCCCCGAGGCTCACGCTTGACCCCGCGAGCCGCCCGTCGAGCTGGAGCGCGAAAGTGTCGCACATGTCTGCGCTCCAAAGCGTCAAGTTTGTGCCCCCGGGCGGGCATCGGGCGTGCGCCAACTGTTCGATATCTAAGGCGCGGTGCATCACGCCCGAGGGCGCCGCAAGGTGTGAGAGGTAGGCACAACAGCAGCCCACTGGCATTTTTTGTGTAACTGTGGACGTCTTTATGTCGAGATCGGGTTACACTGAACGGGGGCAAAAAAAAGCAAAAGAACCACTGAGGAGATGGACGGGAAAACGCACCTGCAAGATGCGCCCGGTCTTTTTTTTGCTTTCTATTAGGCTACCAGCCCACCGAGTCTTAGTGGCTAAAAAGCGCTGGATGGGGCGCGTCGACGGCTCGTGCCGTCTGGGATTTTTTTATTTTTTGACTCGCCTGATGCTGGCGATTGTGCCCGGCTGGCCCTCGCGTCCCGTCTGCACATCAACGATACCCTTGACAAGACACTGATTGCTGACGCAGACTGTCCACCCGACTACCAGATGTGAGAGGTTGAACAAGGCCTGTCATCCCAAGGCCAAATCACAAAGAAGAAGGCGCCAGGCCACGGAACCAGCCCAAGAGTGTGTGCCACGACCGGTCCTGGTTTCTCCGCAAATGTCTGTCTGCACAAGGTTGTGTTGGTCTCTGCATCTTCCACTGACCTTGAGCCATCAGTGCTTCTAGTACCTCCAGCGTGGCGTCTGGGCCGGCATCCAGCCAGGTCGCGGCCCCAACGCCGTCTCCGGTGCCAGATGGACCTCCCGCTAGTAAGTCGAGCTCGAGCACAGCGAGGCGCTCCTCGGTGAGCGCCTCATCAGTTGGTTCATCTGATGTATCACGCCGGCAACAACAGCAGGGCGCCAAGGCCTTGCCGACACAAAATCCACAACGGTCGACGCGATCCATCATGGATCTCGCCGCCACCGAGGCTTCGTTGGTAGGCAAGCAGGCCGAGGTCTTGGTGGCCGAGTTCATGAAGCACCGAGCCCGACATTGCCTCGCCGTCGACCTTCCGCGAGACGCCACAGTGGCAAGACTGAAGGAGGAGCACCCGCTGATCTTCCCCATCATGGTCATGGCGGCCAACTACTACGACCACGAAAGCCAACACCGCCTCTTTAACCGTCTCGTGTCCTTCTTTGTCGAAGAGATCACGCAGGCGGGGGAGAGGAGCCATAAGTTGCTGGCTGCTACCATCTGTCTGTTGGATTGGTGAGTTCCATGCCATCTTCATCCTGTCCTCGCAAACGGGCCAAAGGTCCGAACCCCAAGACAGAACATGACTGACCAGGTAACCGCGCGTGCTATGAACAGCATGCATATAACCAAGCTTCCCAACCCTCAACAGCTGGGCTTGATCCATCTCACCCTGACCATGTCTAGTGACCTTGGCTTAGAGAGGATTCCACACACACATTCGTCGTCGGGATCAGGAGACGTCTGCGCCGCCGCTTGCGGGCCCTTTGGGGCGGCCGGTGCCCAATCCAGGCCGACGCTGGAGAGCTGCAGGGCCCTGGCTGCTAGCTATCACACCATATGCCTGTTCTTGATGTCCATGGGCCTGGGACCTTCCCTGCACTGGCCGCTGCACTGGTCGCCGCACCTGACCGAGGCCATCTCCGAGCTCGAGCGCGCGGGCGGTGGCTGGTGCTCAAACGATGGCTATCTCGCCGCCATGACCAGGCTTCTGCAGATCATGGCGCAGGCGACCGAGGGGCATGTGGACCCCGACACCGAGGCACCGCTGCCAGTGGATCTCGGAGCGGCCGAGGCAAAGATTGATGGATTCTTGAGGAGGATGCCACGAGAGTTCCATGAGGATGGTGAGTGCGGACGGACAGACCAACATGGTTCCCAACATGGTTCCTCCCTTGTCCTTGGGTATAACCGGAAATGCACCTCGCTCCTCTAACACGCTAGGCATCGCAGCAATGGCCATGGCCGAGTACCACAATGTTAGGATTCTTCTTTACAAGCACAGCATCCCGGGCATATCGAACTCGCTCTTTGTCATGCCAAACATGGTAATACCGCAGCGCGAGGCTCAGTACCGGTGTCTGACATCCATACGCGCCATATTTCGACTGTACTATTCCATACCGGACCACAGGCTCGTCCACCTCCCCGGCTGGTTCTGGGGCTTTCTTCAAAACACAAACGTGGCGCTCGGCAGGCTGGCCGACCTGGCCGCGGCGCAGCAGGGGCGGCGCGGGGGGTGGCCCCCGGACTTTGTGCGGAGCGCCCAGGACAACGACCGGCTGTGGAACTTTGCCGAGCACATGGAGAACCTGGCGCGGCGGCTCGAGGGGGTCAGGGCGGCCATGATGGCGACGGGCGAGGTGTCCAACAACAGCATGTTTGACCGGTGGGCCGAGCTCATCAGGGCCGCGCCGGGCCACGAGCCGTTCCAGCAGCCGCGGGGAGGCGCCGAGCAGTCGGTCGTGTTGCCGGAGCCGCAGCAGGTCGCCATCGTCGAGAGCCAGCCGCCGCAGCCGCCACCCCAGGAGATCTTCCAGTTCGACCCAAACGCGTGGGCCTCGGCGCCCAACGACTGGACCTGGTTCGACTGGTACGAGACGGCGCCCGTGCCGGTATACATGCCTTACGAAGACCAACAACAGCAGGGGGGCGACCCGAATTATCCAGGGGGCAGCCAGGCCGGGTGGTATGCGCCGCCGCCGCCGCCGCCTCCTCGGTGATGACGGGGTGGTGTGCCTCCTGGTGTGCCTCCTGGTGTGCCTCTTGGATAGTCCCATAGGCTGCTTTAATACCTACCTAAGAATTCTACCTTGGCGGTGGTCGTGGGTTCGACGGGGTGCGTTTCCGCATCTGCCGACGGGGCCGGCAATCAAGATGCCAAGACGATCAGCGGCATCCGTGGCGCCCCACGTGATATGGGCTATTTGCGGACGCGGTCTTGTCCTGCCTGGAATCCTTTATTGGCGGGGTCGGGCCGCGCTGGGTGTGGGTGCTGCCCCCCCCACCAAAGCAGCCACAGCTGCATCTTGGCTTTGCGACACCAGACTGTTGTCCCTCGACGCCATGCCACGCGCCATCAAGACTTGCATATTTGATGCCAGTCACGACGAGTTACTGCCCATGTCCGAACATACATGTGTTCTCAGGCAGTATATCCTGAACCTCGCCCCAGTCTAGTCTCGGTCAGCGTGCCGTCGTGTTGGCAGCTGCTTCTCGGCCCAGCCTCAAGCAAAAGTTGGGTGGGCACCGCGGCCACCAAGGGGCGCATGCTGAATCCCTCCTCAAATCACGAGACGGCCTTTGAAATCCCAACACCCCCCGTCTCACCTGAATTCCTGGACCATGCGGCTCCTCAATGTGCGCAGCGGCGACCTCCACCAGTTCAGCAGTGACGAGCAGGTTCCGCGATATGCCATAATATCACACACATGGGGAGCCGAGGAGATCAGCCTGCGCGACTGGGAGACGCTGGACCGCGCCGCCCTCAAATCGCGGCAGGGATATTTCAAAATCAAAAGGGCGAGGATCCAGGCCATTGACGATGGCTTGGAATGGGTCTGGGTTGACACGTGAGTTGTCCTTGGTGTCGAAAGAATGGAGGAAGGAATCATGACTACCTACCTACCTATCTACCTACCTAGATTTAATCATAAATGGTGTTTCCTGACAAATCTCGCCGCCCCACAGATGCTGCATCGATAGGACCTCGCCGGCCGAGATAGAAGAGGCTATCAACTCCATGTTCCGATGGTACGGCCGGTCGAGCGTGTGCTATGCCTATCTCGAGGACATAGCCCAGCCCGTTCTAGGCGCCAGCCTATCGGATGCCTTGCGCGTTAGCCGCTGGTTCACCCGCGGCTGGACGTTGCAGGAGCTGATCGCCCCTCCCGAGGTGGTATTCTACTCGACGGGCTGGGAGGTGCTGGGCACCAAGACGGGCCTGGCCGCGGTGCTCGAGTCCCTCACGGGCGTGGACGCCGACGTGCTGCTCGGAGCCACGGACCCGGCGGGCGGGTCCGTCAGCGCGAGCCGGCGCATGAGCTGGGCCGCCGGCCGGCGCACCTCGCGGCCCGAGGACGTGGCCTACTGCCTGCTGGGGCTGTTCGGCGCCCCCATGCCGCTGCTGTACGGCGAGGGGCGCGAGCGCGCCTTCCGCCGCCTGCAGGAGGCGGTGCTGCTCGGGAACCCGACAGATCACACGCTGCTTGCCTGGGGCGACGCCGTCGTCGGCCGCCGCTCCGACCTGGCGCCGCCGCCCGAGGCCCTATCTGTGCACGACGTAGAGGCGCTGGCGTGGTCCGACGCCGACGCCGGCAGGCCCCTGCTCGGCCTCCTGGCCGACTCGCCCGACCGCTTCAGGAACTCGGCGGACCTGGTGCCCATGACGGCCGCGGCCGAGATGTACTACTTTGACGACGAGGACGACGGGGGCAGGTGGGAAGAGGGTGGCGGTGGAGGTCGTCGGAACGCGGAGCTGCCTGTCGCGTTCGCCGGCGGCGGCGGCCTGCGCGTGGAGCTGCCCATGCTCGACGGCCCGGAGCCGGTGTTGTACACGTGGCGGAGCCACAAGATCACGCAGGCGCGCCGGGGCAGGCTGGCGGTGCTCTTCTGCCACCGCAGGGGCGACCCGTACGAGCAGTTCGCCGTGCCGCTCACGTGCTCGGGCCCGGCCTCGTACGGCCGCACGCGCGAGCTGGTGGTCGGCAACTTCAACCGGTGCATATGGCCTGCTGCGGCCGGCGGCCCGAGGCTGAGCGCGAGGGTCCTGGTCCGGCCGGACCAGCCGCGGGATGGCGGGCCCGGCCCGGCGCTCGGCCACGGCGACGTCGTCGTGCGGCGGTGGGCCGTCGGCAACAGCGAGGACCTGCTGATGGGTGAGTTCCGCGACGAGCGGCACAACCGGCGGCTGAGCGCGCGCGAGGGCATCCTGCGCATGGGAGGCGGCGGCGGCGGCGGCGACGACACGGCCGGCGCGCTGCTGTGGAGCATCTCGGCGCTGACCGAGTCGGAGACGCTATGCGTGTTTGTCAAGCGGCAGCGGCCGCGGCCGCGGCCCGAGGACGACCAACGAGACCCGGCGGCCGCGGCCGCGGCGCTGGGCGCGGCCACGGTCGACATCTGGCCGCTGTCGCGCCAGATCGACCGCGAGACGGTGGACGAGGGCGGCACGACGTGGTTCCCGCACGGCGAGACCGAGGCCGAGGTGCTGGCGCTCGCGGCGCGCGAGCCGCCCCTGAGCCGCGTCTTCAAGCCGCCCTCGGACACGTGGATCGCGCCCGCCGTCGGGTCCATTCTGACCATGGTGCTCGCGCGCGTCGACAGGATCCCGCTCGCGGGCGGCCGCGGCGGCTGGGTTGATGTAGTTGACGTGGTCGGCCCGTACCTGACCTCGCCGCCGCTCGACGGCACCCCTCGGACGGGGGAGTGGCTCGCCGCGGGCGAGGACGGGGGCGGAGCTGGTGGGGCCGGGGAGAGGCAGGGCACGTATGGCAACTTCTAGAAAGGGGTGTAATATCACAGGATTTAAGAGCGTCGAATTGCCGTCATAATTTCTTTGGATAAAGCGTCTGAGATGGGGTCATCCTTGGTGGGATTATTGCTATTCTGGTTTGCATAGCGCTGGTACTTTGCATGATGCCGGACTATATGACATGATATAGTACGAGAGCAGGATAAAAGAGTGATGATGGTGATCGCCCAACGTGCAGGTGGGAGGGGTATCCTGTGCTTGGGAAAACATGTGGATGGTGCCGACGTCTGGGCAAATTAAAAACAGAGAAAACCCGGGGGCAGCAAATGACTAGCCCTGGTGCCGTCAAGGTTCTGACGCTGTAAGAAAAGCATCTTCCCGTACTATCAAGGAAAGTGTTGAGAACTTTCGAAACAGAACATGGGAAAAAAAGCCACGACAAAAGCAGCCTGTGGTAGATGCCGGCTCGACTTCTCACCACGGAAGAATCTTGCCGTCGTGCGAGACGAACCGGCCCGAGGTCTCGGGGCCGAGCCTGTCGATCTGCTCGACGCACGCGCGGGCGCTGTCCTCAACGGTCATGGGCGGCTCCGGGAATCCGATGGCGTCGGCGATGCCCTGGCCCATCGAGGTCTTGACCCAGCTGCATGTTTGCAAATTTCCGGAGATGCCGGCCGGGGTGTGTTGTCAGCGGTAGCCCCTGCATGAAAAGCCCGGAGGCCTGCGACCAAACGTGGAAATGTGTGTGCGTGTATGTGTGCGTGTGTGTGTGTGTGTGGCAGAAACTCACCCAGGATGCAGCGCCATGACGCTCAACCCACTCGGGCCGAGCTCGACGCCAATCTTGACGAGCAGCCAGTTGGCGGCGGCCTTGCTCATGCCGTAGGCGGTGCTGGGAAACGACTCCTCCCGCTGGCCCGCGATGCTGCCGACCGAGCTCGTCATGTACACAAACTTTGCCCCCGCGGCAGCAGTAGCATCGCCACCACCACCACCACCCCCGGCCGCCGAGAGCATCAGCAGCGGCCAGGCGGCACGGAACAGGCGCAGCGGCCCGACGGCGTTGACGGCAAAGTCGTGCGCGGCGTCGGCGGGCTCCGTGTCTAGCACGGTCTTGTACCCGGAGCTGCCGCCGGCGTTGGCGACCACCACGTCGACGCGGGAAACGCCGGCGGCCGCGGCCAGGGTGGCTAGCTGGGGCGTGTAGGCAGTGGCAGAGGAGGAGCCGCCGCCGTCGCTGCCGATGGCGGCGTCGAGGGGTAGGACGTGCAGGGCGCTCCCGGGGGCGGCGGGGAGCGAGGCGAGCGTCGCCGAGGTCTCGGCGGCGGGGTCGCGGACGAGGGCCAGCACCGTGGTGGCGGGCCGCTGGAGGAGGATGGCGATGATGCCGCGGCCGATGCCTGTCGTGTGGAAGGAAGGGGTGGTGGGTGTTAGCTGGGGGGGTTTATGGTGGAACGTCGTAGATATGGTCTTCCCGTTTTTCGCTCCTGGGGATTCAGGGGCTGGGTGATGGATGATCTGCCTAATATCTGCATTGCACGGCCCAGACATATCCACGCCGGCCATGATCCGCAATGGTATATCTTTGGACTCTGCATGCTTGCGTAATATTCTGTCCCGGCGGTGCCATGTTGGGTGCTGGTCAGAGGAAGGCTCGGATGGCATACCTTTGTTGGCGCCAGTGATCACGTAGACGGTGTTGGCAGACATGGCAGCGGTGGGTCTCTTAAGCTTGGGATGGGTGATATGGGTTTGACGACTTGAACGATGATCAGGACTGCTCTGTATTGCTTTGGAACTGCTCCTCTACGCTGGCCATGCTGGCATCGACGACCCCGACCGCCGTCAGCTGGACGTCCTGATAGGGGCTGGCCAGCCTGGCGAACCTGCCTAAACCGGACACGACGCCCAATCACAGTAACGGGGCTTGAACCCTCTTACACGCGTCCCCTTCTGGCGACGGCCTCGCCGATGCCCGCTCCCACAAAGTCCGAGACGCACGCAAACACGAGGCTCTCCAGTGTGCGGGGGACGGAGTTGTGAGGGTTTTGCTGCTCTGGGGTAGCCATTGGCACATGCGAGGCGGTGGAGTGGCAAGGCTGCAGCGTGGCTACGATTGAAGGGCAAGCAACAAGCAAGGCTCCTCAGCTGGAGGGAATGGCTACCGGATGCGATGCTGTGGCGTGGTGGCAATCTCTGGGCTGCTTTCAGGGCTGCTTTCATTCTGGGTTGACGCACCCCAAAGTTCTGGAAACAAGCACAACGTTCAGGCAACAAGGAATTTTTTCTTTCCAATCCCCCGCGTTCGGGCTGGGCCGTTATGGCTGTTTTGGTACGTCGTGGCACCATTGAGACGATTCGCGCCCAGACATCCCCTCGTTTGCAGGTGGCCCCCAAAAATCATACTGCAGCACTTCATATTTGCCGCCTAAGATTCTGGGCACCCAATCGCGGCAACGGCTCTACTTCCCAGCCAGCCAGCCCCAGCACGCAGATCTTGAAATGCCGTGTCTTGGCCGCTGTCCGACCTCGACCGGCGCGCAGAGCGAGTCTCATGTCCGTCTGTCTGCGACGTGGGACAAGAATCCCTCCCCCTTCCCGCACTTGCGCATCGGCTCTCATCCGAAACCATCTGGCCAGCCCCCGATCGGCAAGCACTTGGCTCTGGCTATTTATTGGTGGCGTGCTGGCGGTGGTGGTGGCGGGCGGGCGCTTGTGGCACGGGGGCAGGGCAGCAAATAAGAGGCAAGGTCTCGCCAGCACTTTGCTGCTCTGCGCAACTCAACTCCTCCCCCCGGATAACAAGCGTGTGTTTCCGTGGCAAGCAAAAAGGCGCCAGTGGGCGAGGACTGAGCACAGCAGCAGCAGCAGCAGCAGCAGCAGCAGCAGCAGCACACGGCCGGCGGCTGCGAGGAAAAGGGGCAATGCACATGCAGGCTGGACCGACAATTCCCAGTCCTGCCTTGCTCGCGGCGGGGACTGGACAGGAAATATTCCGAGGTGGGGTTGCGTACACCTCATTCAATTGGCCTGAATCAAGACCGTCGAGCTCGCGCGCGCGCAAAAGCCTTGGCAAGCACAAGAAAAGACGTGATCCGCATCCCCGGGGAGATGAGAGATGACGACTGTTGTCGAGGACCCGAATCATGGCCCATTTATCACCCCTGGCGCCGTTTTGGGGAACCTCGGAGCGAGGAAGAAAAAAAAAAATGGCACAATGCAGGTACCCTTTCCCGTCACACAGCACCTGACACAGACCCCGTTCCAAGCCCTTCGTGCAGATGAGAAAAAAAGAAAGAAAAAAAAGACTGGGCCAAGGATGAGTTTTCTTTTTTTGTTGCTAATCTTGGTGGTGAACCGCTGGTCATGAGCAACAGGCGGGCGCGAACCGTCATTTCCGCTTCTTCTCTGCCTGTGGACGTCGTCGTCTTCTGCGTCAGCCTGTCTCGCACGGACGCAGGCCTGCATGTTCTGGGCTTCGCTCGGGCTTGGCCGCAAACCGACGTAGTCAGGCTCGTCGGCGGCCGACTGGGTTGGCTGGCCGAGGGAGGCGGGAGGCGGGAGGCGGGACGGCACCTGCAATCAGTCGACGTCAAGCCGCGGTCGGGTGCCGAATTCCACCTCGTCCTCGGGGAGCTTCCTGGCGAAGAGAGAGGCACAGAAGCACAGAGGCACGAATGGGTTTGCGGACGCAGGCGGCAGCCCCACCCAGCAGACGTCGGTGCAGGGTTCTCCTGCGTCCGGGGGACGTCAGCACATGGCCGTGGTCAGCAGCCCGCCCGTTCGGTCAATGCTGCGCTCCCACGCAGCCACGGCTCCCCCCCAAAAGAGACCTTCGGGGCCAATTGTGGAACCTCGCCGGACGAACCCACAACGCGCAGGGAGACGAGACGCCAGGATGGGCAAAGAATTGGAAGCAAACCCCAAGGACAGGGCCCAGACCATCCGGCCAGAGCCTCTTTTCGTAAATACCGTAGCCAGCCTGCCGTCCGTGCCTCTACATAGACACACCCCCGTCCCCGTTCCCCATTTCATTGTTCGTTTTGTCCCGTGTATTTCTCACACGGTGGTTGATGAACGCGTATGTGCTTGTGTTTTTCTAGCTCTTCGAGTCGTCCTGCCTGTGTCGTCTGTCGAATGTATGCTGGCCATTGCCTCCTCCCGCCAGCCAGCACGCCCGAGCTCGACCTTAGCGCCAGCCCCTCGGTAGCACGAGAGGCAACTGAACGCCTCTGGTAATTCTAATTGTTTGCCGATTGCAAAGTTTGGCCAATAAACCCGAGCGGCCGCGGCCAGACTTTCTTTTGGGTTGGGCTCGACGACGCCAATGGCGCAGTGGGTCCGCAGTGTCCATCTCGCTGCGGCCGCCCCCGTAAATTAACCCGTCTCTGCCCTGCTCCTGCTCTTTACGACGTGCGCAACACGGTCGATCGACCCAGCGGGCAGGCACGCGGAGAGCTGGAAGTGAGGGTCCAAGATTGGCCCGAGTTGGGGCATGAGCCCGATTGATCAAAACCGCGCCTTCCCTCCACCCACATCCCGATGCAGCGACGCCGCCGCCCTGATCTCGAAATCAGCGTCGTTCCTGCGCCGAGGTTCGCGACCGCCACAGGCACCGTCGCCATCAAGACGACAACGAGCGGCCAGGACTGCTCCCGGGACACGTCGTCCCACCGCGCCGAGAAGCACTCGCTCCGCTCCCGCCACCGCTCCCGAGAGAAGCACGCCCTGGACCTGGACTGGGACCTGGACTGGGACCACGACCAAGATCAACACCTCCTGGGCCTCCCGCACCACCAGCACTCACAACCACGACAGGCCCAGCGCGCTAGCCTGGCCATCACAACGCCAGCCCTCGCGCCCAGGCAGCAGACCCAACCCCCGGCAGCCCAAGGAGACCTCAGCGCTAAGCATGCCACAGGCGCCTTCCTCGATGACAAGACGCCTACCACCCTGGACGAAACCCTGGACACCATCCCGGGTTTAACACTAGCCGCAATGTCCGCACACGGCGCTAGTGACGGCAATGCCAATCCCATGCCGCCCAAGGACGACGCCGCCCCCGGGGCCAGCACCCTCGCCGGCGCGCCTCCCAATAACCCTCCCCGGGGCCCGTCGTCGCGTGCCGACGTCCGCATGTCCCACGACCTCTCCATGTCCCCGCGTAACGTCACTCGCGACTCCCTCGTAACCAACATGCTGCTCTCCCTCGACCAGCTGTCCATGAGCATCCCGTCCCCGCCGAGACCTCAGTACAACGACGAGGCCGCCGCCTCGCCTGACATCGCCAGAGTCCCTCCCACGAGGACCACCACCATGACGGGCCGCCCCTCCGGTGCCGGCCACCAGTACTCGTACAGCTCCGACCTCGACACCGACGCCGAGACCTCGAGCCGCGCCTCGGCCCAGTACGCCCGCGGCCACCGCAGCAACAGCGGTTCCAACTTCCACTCCACTCTGGGCCGCATCAACAGCCTGCGCGAGCCCGGCCAGAGGAGCCAGCCGGCAACCCCGCGGGCCGCACACTCGAGGGGTCGCAAGGGGAGTAAGAGCAGCAGCGTCAACAGCATGGATGCCGGGTACCCCTACGTCCCAGGCGGCAACCACCAGCGCTGGGCGAACGGCTTCAGCAATGGCTCGCCCTCTGGCTTCAGCCCTCCTCAGGCCCAGCAGCCGCCGCGCCTTCCTGATTCTCAGCCGACCACGGGTTGGCAGCTTGATTTTTCCGACTCCTTCTTCAGCAACACCGCTGCCATAAACAACAAGACCAGCAGCAGTGCCGCTATGGACGGTGACGACTTCGACTCGGCCCCGACGCCGACGATACCAGCCGGCCCCCGGAGACTGACCACCGCCCCATCCATGCCGTCTTTCCCCACGGCCGGCGTGCGCACGCAGAGTATAACGACCTCGTCGGGCGCGCCGAAGCCCCAGCCGGATCCGGAGCGCAAACGCAGCACGCGATCGTCTCGCAGCGCAACAGTCGGTCGGTCGCAGTCCAGAACCGCCACGCGCGATGTGCCCCCGATGCCAGACTCGACAGCCTTCGACCCCGATTCAGCACCGGCCCCCAGCATTGGGTACGAAAAGCGCAAGGAACAGCTCGCACAAGCAGGCCGTGCTAACAACACCGCCCCAACGCCCGCCCCGCAGCCCAAGGAGAAGCTTGGATTTTTCAGGCGTGTTTTCGGCTCGCGGAGGGACAGCAATCCAAATTCAAACAGCAGTGCCACCGCCGACTCGCAAACGGGCAAACAAGCCAACAATGCTCAACAAACGGAAGCCTCGAGCCAAGCCCGCGCGGCCAAGGCGCAGAGCACGCCCCCCTCGCGTGACAGCTCACACTCGACGCACGGCGGGACGACGCACGGGACGCTGCACAAGAAAACATCAGCATTCTTCAGGCGACAGAAGAAGGTGCAGAACGAGCCGCCCCCTCCACCGCCTCCGGTGCCCCAATCTATCCTTGACGCTGCCGCCGACGCCACTCCCGTCGCCCCCCCTCCCAAGCTGCACTCGCCATCGTCCAACCCTGCCGCGAGCCCAGGCCTGACTCGCGCGCTCGAGCCTTATTTGGCCTCCTCCAACGGCAGTGATGGCCCGGCTCGCACACCCAGACACGACTATCCCGCGGCCCAGCGTGCCACCGCGGACGCAGCGTACGGTAGCCCCAAGAAGCCCAAGGGCCCCCTTGACCTAGACCCGCCTCGCTCGCCCCGAGCCTCCGCGGCGCCGGCGGCGCGAACTGAGAGCAAGCCGTCCCCGCCCACAGAGCAGCAGCACCACGAGGCGACGCCGCGGAAACTCCGCGCGGCTGCCGGCGTCCTCGCCAAGAGGAGCTCCGCAAGCCGCATCAGTGGCACCCCGACTCGGCAGGCCCCTGAGCCCCCCGCGGCCATTGCAAGGACAGGCTCATTCCTGAATTGCGACAGCAGTGACACCGAGAGCGAGGGCGAATCGAGAACCCCTGTCCGACTAGACAGCAGCACCAGGAGGGTTCGTGAGAGGAGGTCCACAAAGGACGCCATCAGGCTAGTGTTGCCATTGGAGGGTTCGGTCCTCGAGGGAGGCTCCATGGGATCCAGGTCAGCAACGAGCCTGCCGAGCGTCAAGGTGGATGAGCCGGACAGCCCTGACAAGAGGGCGAGGAAGATGGGGTCCAACCACACGACGACGCCGATTGACGAGCCCGGTGGTTTCGTGATCGGGGACCCGACCGAGGACGAGCGGCAGAAGGCGCAGAAGATCTACGATGGCAACGAGGACTTTATCCAGAAGGAGAAGGCAGCCGCCTGGATGGGCGAGGAGGGTCCAGTGAGGCAGCGCACGCTGCAGGCGTACATGTCCCTGTTCGACTTTGCTGGGCGCAGCATAGTCTCGTCGCTGCGCGACATTTGCGCGCGCCTGATTCTCAAGGCTGAGACGCAGCAGGTCGACCGTATTCTGGCCTCATTCGCCAAGCGATGGTGCGAGTGCAACCCCAAGCACGGCTTTAAAGCTATCGGTATGTCTGTCTTGCGAAGCCCGCCCCAACCAAAGACAGAAGCAAGCACGTTGCTAACCAACCGCTGACCTTTCTCGTGTTATAGACGTTGTCCACACCATCTGCTACTCCATCATGCTGCTCAACACGGATCTGCACATGGCCGATATCGAACAGAAGATGACGAGGAGTCAGTTCGTCAAGAACACCATTGGCACAATCAGGCAGGCCCTCACCGACACTGCGCCAGACGCATTTGGTAGGCAGTCGATTCTGCCCGGGAAGGGTGGTCTCTCGCCTGAGGACGCACAGGATCCGATGGAGCTGGAGAAGCCGGTCAACAGCTTCAGGCAGTCGTTTCTGGGCGGTCTCACGGCGGCGCCCACCGCTAGTACCGAGGCGGACGAGTGCGGCCCTCTGGTAAAGACACCGTTTGAGGGGACGCTACGCGCATGGGAGGGTCAGATCGAGACGGTCCTGAAGGATACGTACGCATCGATCCGCGACAAGCGGCTGCCGCTTTTTGGTGCCGATCTAACGCCGCAGCTGCAGCCTTCAGCCAATCTGTCAGTCATTGGCCTACTAAAACGCTCGCCGTCGGTGCTGAGCAAGGCGCCATCGGAGAGTCAGGCGTCGATTAGGGGGCGAGTGCCCAGCGGGACGGACGCCTCGAGGCTGTCGTCGCTCCGGTGGACATCCAAGAGTCGCTCACGAGCGCGGGGCGCGCCGGGGGCTCCCTTTGGCACCAACGGCTTTTCGTCGAGCCGCACCAGCTTTGACGACGGCGGCTCCATCTGGAGCCCAACCGTATCGTCGGCCACGCGCAGCCGCTACTCGCTTGGCCGCACGCAGACGTCCATGTCGATCGACTCGATAGGGTCCGGCTACACAGCCAACTTCCCGCAGTCCATCGGGTTTGCCAACGCTCTCAGCCAGGCCATAATCCGCGAGGACGCCATCGGCGCGGCGGGCGCCGCCAGCCTGCTCAGCGGCGTGAGCGGCGAGGAGGCAAACAGCACCGCCAAGCCTCTGCTCGAGGACGAGTCTCTGGAGCTTGCCGGGCCACCCTGGGTCAAGGAGGGCCGGGTCATCCACAAGCACCATCTAGACGGCATAGACAAGAGGGCCAAGGACCGCAACTGGAGCGAAGTGTTTGCTGTGGTGCAAAAGGGGTCCTTCAGCCTCTTCTCGTTCGCGCCCAACAAGTCGCTCGGCAAGAAGAGCCGGGGGCGCGTCGGCGGTAAGGGCGCCGTCGTGGTCGGCGGCGGCAACTGGCAGGACAACGCGACGAACCTGGCCACGTTTAGTCTTAAGCAGACTCTCGCCTCGGCCCTGCCCCCGCCAGGCTACTCGAGCTCACGACCGCACGTGTGGGCGCTGAGCCTGCCCACTGGAGCCGTGCACTTGTTCCAGGTCAGCACCCCCGAGACCAGCCAGGAATTCGTCACGACGGTCAACTACTGGAGCGCACGGCTGAGCACGCACCCGCTCGTCGGCGGTATCTCCAACATCGAGTACGGTTGGGGCGACGACATCGTCCACAACCCGCTGGTTACCGCCATCACCGAGGCAACCATGGGCAAGGAAGCCGACGGAGGGCCCATCACCGCTCAGACCAGCAGGCCCAGCAGTGCCGCCGCCGTGACTAGAGGGCACCGGACCACGGGCTCGATGCACTCGCGGGCGGGCAGCTTCCATTCGGGGTCGCTCGACTTTGTGCGCGCGCGATCGGGGTCGGTGCAATCTGCCGGCGCCGTCATGGACCTCGGCAACATCCTGGTCGAGAACCCAGCCGAGTCGGGCTCGCCCACCCCGACCGGGCGGCGCGGGCCCCGCTCAAGCTCGTCCTTCTCGTCGACGATCGGCCCGTTTGGCGGGAGCATCAGCGCGGGGGTCGGAGGTCCCGGGAGGGGCAAGCTCCCCGGCGACAGGATCCACATCGCCGAGTGGAGGCCGCCGGCGCAGTCGCTCCGGGCGTCGACGCAGGGCGAGGCGGAGCAGCTGTCCACGCTCAGCGCCTACGTGGCGTCCATTGAGGAGGAGCTGCGCAAGCACAACGCGCTCCGTAGCCCTATGCTCCTCGCCTTCAGCCCGCGCTCCAACAACGCGAGCAGGGCCATGGGCAACTGGCAGCGCAAGAGCGAGTACCTGCTGCGCGAGAGCGTCAAGTACCGCACCTACGTCGACGCCCTGCAGGCCGCCGCCGTCCGCAAGGACGAGGTGTACGGTGAGAGGAAGGAGGAGTGAGCGATCGAGCTGGATGAGTAAGCTGCCGTATAAATACAAAACGAGAACAGCACGGAGAGAGAAAAGCAACAAGTCAACAACCCAAAGCACAGGGTCTGACTGGCGTGTTTATAAAGTTTTGGCGAGTTTTTGTCTTTTTCTTATGTGGCGTTTTCTTTTTGTCAGACAGGGTTTTGTAATGATCCGGGGCCTTTTTTTCCGTGGGGAGAACTGGAGTATACTTAACGACATTGTATTTGTTGCCTTCAGAGACTCTGTCGCTATATAGGGGCTAGCAAGTCCCATACGAGGACTTTGCTCGGCTTTTTTTTCTCGTGTATCGTTTTGTGTGCTCCTCGGGGAAGGGGCTTTGGGGGTTTGCTTTTTTGGCATGATAAACATGCATGGCCTAGGGGACCGTTGGATGGTTGGTAGTTAGCATGTCTGGTGTCGATAGAAGGGGCCACCCAAAGAGGGGCGAAAAGAAAGAAGATCAGAGTTGCATTTCCATCTTGACCCGTTTTTTTTTTTTTTTATGATTTCCGTTCACACTAGCGGCCGGACGATGCCGACTTGGGCTTTCTGCCGCCCGATCATCGACACGTATACTTGCTTACAGCGCTGAAGAGGTCAGGTACCATAACAAGAGTGAGGCGTACTATGCTATTCGTGGAAGGGTAATCTGGAGAATGATGATTTGACACGCACTGAGCGCTCCACCAACCCCCGAAAGCAGAAAAAAAGAAAGAAAAAAGAAAAAAAAGCCTCTCCCGTCCTGCTTCCTTGCGCCCCAGCTCCACGTCACCATGCATACGGCCCGGGTCTCGCCCATCCGCACATGGGATTCGTCCAGTTTGTCCTACGCAAGAACAACTCCGGGCCAGTACACGTCGCACTGACGGCAAAGCACCAACCTTTGGATGGACTGGACGGTCGCCATCGAAACCAGGAGGGAAAATAAAAAAGAAATCTGCATTATAGCGCGCGCTTCGACCGTGAACAGCCTCAACAGGGTAACCGCCAAGGGGGATTATTTCAAAAAGTCGTTACGTCGCTTGAGGTATCGCTTTTGGTCGTTCCCTTTCGTCCCGTCTCCTTTGACAGTTCAGGCTGCAAGGTCCATTCTTGGGAGACTGGGGGACCCCGTATCCAGCTTTCTCTGCATGTCACACCTCGACGGCCGGGTGGTGCAGCGGGCCACACACACACACACACACACACACACCACCTCACATGTAGCCGTTGTTAAAGGGCCCTGGCGGCTGGAAGGCCGGATGGGGGCCGGGGTACTGGCCGGGCGGGGCGCCCTGCTGCAGGACGGTGGCGGCGAACTGCTGCTGCTGGTCCTGCTGCTGCTGCACCGACATCTGCATCGGCATCTGCATCGGCATCGCGCCGGGGAGCTGCATCCCCGGGACTTGTTGCTGTGGGTAGTAATAGTAGCCGGGGGCGGCGGGGCCCATCATGCCCATGCCCGGCATCTGCTGCATCATCTGCATCTGCAGCGCCGCCTGCTGCTGCTGCTGGGCCTGCATCTGGACGGCCAGGATCTGGGCCGGGCCGGCGGCAAGCATGGGGTCGTAAGGGTACTGCACGGCCACGTACTGGTTGGTGCCTGGCATGAGTGTGTATGTCGTGGTGGGCTGTTGCTGTTGTAGCTGTTGCTGGTGCAGCTGTTGATGTTGCAGTTGCTGTTGCTCCAGCTGTGCTGCAGCGTCCGCGGCGGAGGCGGGCTGCGACTGCGACTGCGACCTGCGCTGCCCACGACCGGCCGTCCCGGATGGCGCGGACCGCGACGGCGGCCGGACGGTGCCCGACGTGCCCGACAGCTCCGACTCGCTGCCCGACGCGTAGCCGCTCTTCTCCCTGCGGCCGCTGCTCCTTCTCCTGCGCGACGACGACGACGACGGTGCTGCCGTTGGGCGGCGGCGGTCGCGGTCGGCCGGGGTGGCGACGGGGCTGGGGCGGAAGTGGACGTGACGGTCCGCGGCCGCGGCCGACGACGAAGACGCCCTGCCGGAGCCGTCCCTCGCGTCCTTAGGGGGTCTGTTGTATCCTGCAGGGCCGCTGTTGCCGCCGCCGCGGGGCTGGCCGGTGTCCGCTTGCTGGCTCAGCCGCTCTGCCATGTACAGGTCCGCGTCATCGTTGTCGTCGTCGCTGTTGCTGCTGCTACTGTTGGTGGTGGTGTGGCCGTCCTCGACCTTGGCGTGCCGGTCCTTGCGGCGTGGGTACTGGTCCCAGCCGCCGCGGATGCTCGTGTCGCCTACCATGGCGCGGTGCTCGTGGTTCGCCGTGGTGGGAGCTGACGGCTCGGACGGATGGCGATGGCTGCTGTTAAGGCTGTTTGTGGGGTCGAGCTGCATCGGGGAGTACATGGACGTGTGTTGCAACGAATCCTGTATGTATGTGTTTGTTTTTCCCCGGCTTGTAGGAGCTTTGGTGATATAAGAGTTGCCCGGTCAGCCAGATACACCGAAAGCAAGGTGTGGGTGTTTTGGCTGAGCTTTTGAAATGGCGGGTGACAAAGATTACCTTTTTTTCTCTCTCCTTTGCTATTACTTTTGCTCTGCGCTCGAGGAAGGAGTGAGGCGAGGTTGAGAGACGGCAGGCGTAATCGGGAAGGTCCGCCGAAACACTGTCCCAAGACTGCCTAGGTAGGTAGAGGTAGGTAGGTTGAGCTTTTGTTATTCCGCGCCTCCTTCCTCTTCGAGCTTCTCTCCACGGCTTCTTGCGCCGCCTTCGGCTTTCCCTCGGCAACGTACCGGGAAGGAGCAAGATGCAGCTCGATAGGGCATTTGGCTGCAAAAGGGTCTGATATCTAATCCCAGCCGTTGGGAACTCCTGGCCCCACATTGGGGTAGCCTTCGGCTCAACTCCGCCCGTATGCTCCTCCCTATCATGTTTGCTTGACTCTATCAACTTGAACCTGAGAAGCTCCGATGGCTGATCAGCGGACTACAGCATTACACCAAGATTTACAAGAGCCACAACCGAGACCTAAACCCAGGTGATGAATGGTATCTTTGTTACTGATTATCTAGTTGGGTGCCGTCTAAGCACTGTACATGCTCAAAAGGGGTTCTGTCTATCCGATCCACGGGGTCATACCCGGCTCTTGGCCTCGTACGGAGCAGGCGAGGCACTGTCCTCTATCTTGTTCATCTTGGCTTTTCTCCTGCGGGCATACAGGAAAACACCCACTCCGGCGAGCACCATCGTTCCAGCTGCGAGTCGGAGGCGCCTCATGGTCAGCAACAGGGATTGAGTCACACCAAGGGGGTCTGGTCAAGCTTACCGATAGATCCGCCTAGCACGCCGCCTGACGCCACCGCGTTGCCGCCTGCCGTGACGGCTTCTGGGGACGGGTTGGCACCAACCTCGGCCTGGTTTGCCGGCAGCGGAACGAGTGTGTCGGCAATGCTAGATATGGCTGGCGGAACTGGTGCGGCGGGATCGCCGACAGGGACAAGAAGACTATCGGAAGGCGTCGGGGCAGCAGGGGTTTCCGGCGACGGAGTTGCCGACATGTCAGGCGGCGCTACGACGTCTAGCTGGGGCGGTGGCGTCGCGGCGGGACTTGACGAGGCGGTGGGTGTTGGGCCGCTTGGCGTTTGGCTGATGTAGACTGTCGTGTAGACCACCATGGTCGAGGGCGTCCCCGTGGGCGGGCCTACTATCATGGTCCATGTGGTCGAGGGGCCCAGCAGGCGCGTTAGCGCTGGCGCGTCAGGGGCGGCGCTTGATGGTGATTCGGGCCCAGACTTTTTTGACGATGAAGACGACGAGGACGACGAAGAAGAGCTGCTAGAGGAGGACGACCCTCCTGCTTCGCTTTGCTTGTCGCCTTCTTGGGCCTCGCCACCCACTTCCGACCCCTTTTCCTCCTCTTTTTCCTCGCCCTCCTTTTCCTTGCCCTCCTCTTCCTCCTCCTTTTCCTCCTCCTCGGCCTGCCGCTTTGTCCGGCGGGTGACGTGGCGTCGCTCCAGGTCGGCCAGTAGCTCGGACAGGCTGTTTGGCTGTCCTCCGATCGGTATCCTCATGGTGGGCGACATTGTGGGTGAAAGAATGACAAGACGCGAGAGAAGGACTGAGACGAAGAAGAGAAACAGGAACAACTGACAGAAGACACGAAGAGAAATGCAAAACAACGCCCAGCGTCCAGCGTCCAGATCCGCGCTACAACAAAAAAGATGGACGTGTCTGCACTCTACAGCGCCAAAAGAGTGGGATCAGCGGTCCAGGATCGCCACGGGGGGGACCGGCGCAGGACAGCAGCGTACATATGGCTGGCGGCTCATCACACCACGCCCCCTTGCCGCGGGTGGGGGAAAATTATCGAAACAAGCTTCTTATCACGCAGTGTGGTAGCGCAGGCCCTGCCCGTCTACCACTGCCGGCGCCACCCAGAACACTCGCCAACCTCATCGCCCTACAAGAAACGCCCGCCCCTGGTCTACACAGTACACGGCGCCGGACCGGGCCTGGGGAGGCGACGCTGCGACTCGAGCGTCTCTTGGCGGGCCGGCGGCTGGCCAATTAGCAGGGCCGAGGGCCGGGGTGCCAAACAAATTCCAGCAAAATCCAAACAAAGCAAGGGGGCGCTGGGCCCGGGCGGCCTCGCCTGCTGTTTTGGACCTCTGATCCACAACGCCGATCAGAGCCCGCTGATTGCGCCTCACTTCAAATGGGAAACGCTCCCTTTTTGCCGTCCGTTGCATCGTGAGTCGCTGGGCGGCCCGGTCAAGGCTGCCTGGGGGGAGGTAAAACGAGTGCGAGATTGGGTGAGCAAAAGTGCGGTGTTTTGGTCTAGGCTAATGCTGGTAGGGCCGGGTCTTACGAAAAGTGCATAAGATGGGCGAATTGGCCCGTGCTCAAGCGATGACCCATCTCCTCCTCCGCAGAGGGCAAGAGGTCGCGTGCTCGCGCTCTGTCGCTGGTGTCACGTTCGCTGTGGCCCCACTTCTCCCCCATCGAGCTTTTCGGTTTTCCTTTTTCTTCTCCGTTTCATTTAGCTATCTTTGCCGACTCTTGTTGCCCCCAGAAGTCCTCGGCAGCAGCATGCCCCCAGTTCCGAAATCCCGAGCCGAGTGGCCCAACGTTTCTCATCTTTTTTCACACTGCCCTTGACGCCTTCTCCTGCCAAGGACGAGCTATCGCCGCAGAATTCATATCTCTTCGGCAGAGTTCGCAGAGCCTCGACCCAGCCCTCGGCTTCCGACCAGAGCGTGTTTTCTTTGGCGCGACAATGTGTCGCTGTGTCAGAACGGCATCGGGACTGAGGACACGTTGATCCACCAGGAGTCTTCTCCACCCCAGCCTAATATCAACACATTGGTGGTAGCCCAAGCGGATTGCCACATAGCGCCACACAGCGTCTGTAGCTGGGACAGGCAGATCCTGACCTTGAGAGACAAGTATCTCATGCCACCTCGTATCAATCTTTGCTATCGACAAGACCGATCGCTCACAACGCACCCAGACTGCGTGGCTCTGGATCTGAGCCGGGTTGGCAAATCACCTGCCGAGCAAGTTGACAGGCAGTCGGCTCCGAAGTGACTCGCCACTCCGCTCTCCACCCTGACTGGAATCAGGCAAGGTCCCTAGAGCAAGAATTCAGCAGCACAAACGACCTTGCGGCCCCGTCAATGACAGCCTCTTTCACAAGGTTGACAGAAGAGGCGCGGGGTTTGCATCCTCCTGGCGTCTGCGATATTCTTGTCCAAGGAGGTCGTTGCCAAAAGAAGGCCTCGGTCCGATGTGGGGTTGGCTTCGGAGCGGCCCCTCCAATGGCCGCAAACGATACTCACCCAGCTGCTCTCCTTCCTCAAACGGCTCTTGATGTAGCTTCAAAGCCGTCAACTCGAGCAAGCAGCTGACTCTGGGCGGGCACATTTTCCTCGAGCCCTCATGTCCCTTTGGCGGGCAGAGAACATGTTTCGAATGTCAAGGTTGGCTTCTCATTGCCCATTGACAACAAAGAAAGTATGCCATATGCATTCTTGCCGCAACTAGGAATGCAGCACGAAAGGCAGCCAAAAGAACCGGCAGCCCCGATACAAAGCTGGGCGAGCCACGGCTCGGCCGGATTGGCCTCTAGCAAGGTCAGTACTATAACAAACAATCATACCGCTGACAAGGTCACAGGACTTCCCGTTCCATACCCGAGGCGCGATATTCTAATGCGAAAGTGGATATAACGCATACCGGGACCCATGTTGGTGTTATTACGTCTGGCCGAGGTAACCTGGCCGGGAAACATTTCTGCACCAGCAAACAGGACGTATCCAAAAAAAAAAAGAAAACGAAAAAAAGGATGCAGCTCTTGCCGTGAGCACTGCATGCCACCCTGATAACACCCGGGCGGGGTCACATCGGCTGCACACACCTGACCTCCCCATCTCGAGGGCGCAACCGGGGAGAAACTGGCGGATGCTAGGCTACCGTCAACGTTGGTACAGCTCGCGACCACTGTCGACCAGGAGCAGAGACCGTTAGCATGCGTCAAGCTCGACCTTGGTTTTGGAAGCGAGACTCTCGAGCCCCTGGAATTCCCCGCATCTCGGCACTCGCTCCCCCCCAATTTCGATTGGCTGGCAGCCAATGGCGTTCGCTGGCCTGGTGGCTACCCCTGACACCACTTGGGCTGTCATCTCTAGACCCGCTTCCCCAGACCTGCCGCTTTGGACCGTCAGAATCGACGCCTACCGCGGCCTTGTCCCTCATAGTTACCCTTCCCCGACATTCCCCCGCCACGCGTCCTTGCGGGCGCTAACTCCATCACCGCAAATACGACACGATGCGGCGATGAGAGAACATAATACGGAGAAGCGTCCGGACGAGCTTCCAGGTTTGTAAAGCTCCTTCACTCTTGGCTCCGTTTCCCTGCCAAGGGTCGCCCGCGCGTGCAGCAAATAGATTGACGCCGTACCGAGAACCGACGCCCTAGCTTAAGCGGGGGTAACCTCTCTCCATTCCATACGCAACCTTTTACGCGGTACGGATGGCAGATACGCCATTACCGTTACATTGGGCCCATCGAGCACTCCAGCAACACCAACCCATGTGCTCAGCAGCCAGGCATCTTGCTCGGCCGTCGACTACATTTCGAGCCACCACCGGCCTCTTTACACGCCCTGGAGGTCTTATCCTAGGCGGCCCCTCTTTGTGACTACTTCGCGATTGGCTCACATGGGTAGCATCAGGGGGGCATTTTCTCTTTTCACTCGGCTTCACATGAAATATTGTGGAGTAGCGCCAGCCGAGCCGCCACCAGAGAGCCGCTTCTCCTCACCTTGCCCTGGCCCCCAAAACGTGGAGATCCTGTTGGACAGGATGTCATGGGGTGCCTTGCAGATCCTGGGGGAGGGGCGGCGAGTGCGATCAGCAAGAGATCCGGTCACGCACCTACGACGAGGGCGTCAAGGCCGCGGGGCAGGAAACTTGGGAGCAAATCGGGGGGTGGATGGGGTACTATGAGAATGAGGGGAATTGGATAACGGCCAAAGCCTCGTCGTCTATATAAAGAGGCCATCCTCTTCCCCTTCATAGACGTTCATGAAGGTTTCTCAACCCAGTCCACTCCTCCGACCTAACCACAGACTACCAGGCTCAGCTCCCGATAATCCTCAGCAAGCTTCCAACCGCTTCCTCCAAAAACCTTCAAGATGCAGTTCAAGACCGTCCTTGTCGCCCTCGTCGCCGCTGTGGCCTCTGCCCAGGACATCAGCAAGATCCCCATCTGCGCTGTACGCTTCCCCTCCCAGCGCCTCACGTCTTCTCCCACGCTGTCCTCGACTTTCCCTCGTCAATGACAGAAGCTAATACGCCACCGCTCTCCGTGATAGATCAGCTGCTTCCTTAACAACACCAGCGGCACCGGATGCAGCAGCGTCTTTGACTTCAAGTGCCTGTGCGGGTAAGCATCTCAAGCCCACCTGCCGCGCCCCCGCCCCCCATTTTCCAGAAGTGTTGGGCCCCCGATAGACGAGACAGCCCGCTAACCCTCTGGACCCAGCAACGCCCCCTACTTTGGCCGCGTCCAGGCATGCGCCACCACCGCCTGCAGCGCTGCCGACCAGGCCAAGACCCTCGCCTGGGCCAAGGGCACTTGCAGCTCGGTCGGCGTTCCCCTCCCCGAGTAAATGTGGGCGAGATGGGGGTTTGAGAAGGAGAAAAAATAACCGCTTTGAGGGTGGGGCGGCGCTGTTGCTGTAGCGGGGACGTACGGGGGTGGACTGGACCGTGTGCGTGTATCCCCCCATCTTGGGATATCTCTGTCGGAATCTCTGTAGGATCCAAAGCCTGCCATCAATAGGACGCTTCCTCTCTGGCTGTAATCCGCATGTGTGACGTGGCGCCGGAACGGGATATGAGTCGTCGTGAAATCGACATTTCAGAGCAAGGTCGAGTAGGTATAGCGTAAAGGTGAAGTGGACAAGAAGTAGGAGAGAGAAAGGGTCACATGTCCCCACGTGACATGAGTCCCCAAGCCATCTGACGTCGAAGTTGAGCCCCTCCCCCTCCCAGCCTTGCGGTGCAACCCGCACAGTGCAGCCAGAGATCAAGGGGGAGGACCCTTGTGGCACGAGGCTGAGGGACGCTTTTAACAAATTATGATGTCAGGAGAGGGAAGGAGGAGATGGGATAAGTATAGCACAAAAATAGCGAATTGCATCCACATTCCCCCTATCATCGCAAACATGCATGATCCCGAGAGTGCCTTATGAGACCGGATTGGGCAAGGCTTCTTTCGGCCCTTTTGGGGATGGTGACCAGCCGAGCGAGAACCTTTGCCCAGAACGGTCGATGGCCAGCCGCTGGGCGAGGTAGACAAAGACAAAAAGGAGCGGAGGGTGCTTGCGAAGGCTATCCCAGCATGACGCACGCGAGCGGCGGCTTGTTCCTAGAAAGGTCCAAGTGTGTCTTGAAGAATGTTTCTTTGTTATTCCTATTTTTATCTAATTTTTTGTCCTCCGAGTCCGTCCGTCCATCTCTCCTCATCCCCGAGGAGAGGGAATTTATGCAGACGCTGACAGCTGCACGGTGACTTGTTGGGAAATTGACAAGCAGGTAGGTGCGCGTGGCGTGCGAATGTCAGCCTTGGGGTAGTTTCCGAAAGAGCCATGCGGCTCGACGAAAATGCGAGTGATTTCTTTTTTCTGCGGCTTTGGAACGGGGCCTTTCCGTCTTTGGTGATGATCGGACGCCGATGCGGCTGAGGCTGGCGCGCCTACGGAAATTGCGTGGGGTGTGACACCCATATGATTCAACGTCAACGGCGGTTTCAGCGAACGCCCAAGGGAGCTGGGGAGGCACGGAGGCGGTCAAAGCAGGACAGAATATAGAGTATCACCATGGCATAAGGGAGCAAAATTCAAGAAAAAGGTCAAAGTTTAGAAGACGCGCGTCAATTAAGAAGGTCTATCGTGGGCGTTGTTCGTCGTTATTAACAAAGATGTAACCACCAAGCGCAATCCGGACCCGACTAACGGGAGCATGCCCACCGATTGTCGATAAGAAGCAAAAATACAAGCCAAGAGAGCTGACTGGGGTATCAAGTTGTTCAGATTGTTGCGTGGAGGCAAAGCCACTCTGCATGCTAGGCTAACCTGAAAACTCCATTGAAAAAAAACCCACCGCAATCACAGCCGTCCATGCATTAGAGCGTTTGCTACCACCCAGGTAACAATGCTACTTTACAGGAAAGCAACAACGGCAGCGACGACGGCACCGAAGCCGAGGACGGTCTTGCCGGCGCCGGCAGTGACAGGGGGGGTAGGCTGAGGCGTGGTGACGGGAACAGGAGGCTTGCCAGTGCCAGCGGCGGGAGGCTGAGCGGGGCCCGACGGAACAGGACCCGGGACGTTGGGCTTGGGCGGCTGGACAACGGCAGAGGTGGGAACAGGGGGCTTGACAACAACGCCGGTGCCGGTAGGGCCGACCGGGATGGAGGCCGGGCCAGTGGGGTAGGGCGGCACGGTGTTGTGCTTGACCGGGCGAGTGGTGACAGCCTCGACGACGGGGCACACGGTGGTCTCGATGACGACAACGCTGGTGACATGGGGCCTGTTGGGGCAGTTGGTCACGGTGGGGGCGCAGCTGGTGACGGTCATCATCTTGGTAACCTTGATGGTCGAGGTGGTGTAGCGGGTGGTGGAAGCGGTGGAAGAGGTCATCTCGTCTTCCTCGTCGCAGTCCTCCTCCTCAATGCTGCCGCTGGGGCCGGGGGTCTGGACCGTGACCATGGTGCTGGCGGTCGGGGTGACGCCAGTGGCAAGGAGGACAGCACCAGTGGTGGACTGAACGGTACCGGTCTGGGCGTTGGCACCAATGGCCAGGGCGGCGACGGCGAAGAGAGCGGAGCGCATCTTGACTAGTCGGAAGTATTAAGACTGATTATATTCAGGAGATAAAAAAGAGTGGAATGTTCAGGAAGGCTGCGAGCGAGTGAAGCCTTGATGAGCGAAAGGAATATTAGGTCTTAGAGAGTGACTGTAAGGAGCACGAGGAGGAGATCTGGAGCGGATGGGAAGAAAGAAAAACGGGAGAAGCAGGACGGGATGGCAGCTCATCTTATAATGCAGGATGGGCTGCGGGCGGGTGAGAGGAACAAGGGGAGGCGTGGGCTGTCTCCTGCCGTTCCCATGGTCCGCCCGTCAGCGCAGCGTTGGCCACTGTGCTGGTCCGGAGAGGAGGGTAGCTTTCCGGGCTAGGTCCGCCCTGCCAGGAACGGCAGAGGCAGCAGGGCCCCCTGGGCAGGGGCTGGCCTGTTGCTTGTTCGACTGGAACATGAGCCACAAATGTCTGTTCACCAAACTCTCAATGGGCTGCCCCCATCTCATCTCAGCCAGGCTCAAAGGGGAGGAGGGAAGGGCGCCAACCACGACCAGCCGACGTTGGCGAGGAGCCCAGCAGCAATAGCATCAAGCCCCGGACAGGCTTATGCGCCAGCATTGGCCGTCACCCCGAATGAAAGCTGTTTACCCCTGCCGGCTAGGGCAGGCTGACGCGCCAAAGAGCGAACGGCGATGCGTTGGTGCAGGGCCAGAGTCCCCTACCCGCCAAAAGGAACCACCTGCAAGGAGCAGAAAGGGGTTCTCAATCAAAACAAACCGTTGTCAATGTCGGGAAGTCAGCCACCGCGCGAAAGACCTCCCTCAAGTGCGTCTGGGGCGGGACACAAAGCCCTGTTGGGCCAATCAATGGGCTCGGTTTTGCGAGAACCACGCAGGGTTTTCCTCGAGCTAGGCAGGGGCAAAGGACGCTTCAGTGGGCGAGCGGTTCCTACAGCACGCCTTCCACGCGCCTTCCCTCCCCTTTCCAGTTCGGCAGGCACGACAGGGGCAGCTCTGCCGGAGGCTGCTCGTTGGGGCCTCCTTTAACAGGTCATTTGTTTGTTTCTATTTCCCGCCCTTTGTCGAACCCCTAAATCGACATCGCTTCGAACGGTCCGGCCTTGCCATGTGTTGCGAAGAAAGAAAAGGGAAAATCTCTTTAGGATCGGCGAGGCCGTTGGCACAAACAATACAAAGCGAGAGACGGCAGCGGGCAGAACTCCGCTATCACATTTTTACATTGACCGTGCGATCACTGGTCTCTCCACAGAACACCTCAACGCCCAGCACACCCCGTAGCGGCTGCTGCTAGCCCCAAACATGATGAATTACTTTCAGGGGAAGGCTAGAATTTCCCAAGCCACGGAAAATAATGAATACGAATAGGTATCTCTGGTAGGTGTCTGCCCAGGTATTCATGGTGAGCACGTATTGATCATAGCCTTGTGCTGCCTTGCCCGCTCAGTTGACAACTCCTTGCCGCGGCAGCAAGAAAAGAATCTTTAGGCTCGCCATGGCAGCCCAGCAACGGTTGCGGGCGCTCTTCGTGCTTGGCCTGCCTCTCGTCGCTCATTCCCCACTAGCCCGCCTCCTTGTGAGGGTAAACCATGGTTCGTGACAGCTCGTTCTGTGCCGCACCGCTTTGATTCGAGGGGGAAAACACAGGGCCGTCCGTTCCGCTCCAGAGGTAGGGGCCCAAGATTCCACAGAATGGTTCAATTTGTTCGACAGGCATGCCGGAAATTTCCTCAATTGCATGTGCTTCCAACACCTTGCCCATCCCGGACCGAAACCAAGGCCTTCCCGCCGACAGCCCTTTGGGAGCCAAGGCCGAGACTGGGGTTGGCTTCCACTGCCAAGCTCTGTCTGCGCACTGGGGCTTGTGGGTTCGTTACCAAGGCAGAGAGAACCGACGCGGTGTGCGAGACGTTGTTCCGTTTTGCCTTGGTCGGTGGAGTTGAAAATCAGGTATCCCACCGAGACCGACCAAGACGAGAAAACGAACCAAGAAAAACAAGCTCACAATGGAGAAATTATCGGCTAGACATCTCGGGTCAGGTGCATACCTTTCTGGCTGATGCCCACCATTGATTCCGCCTATGGTGCATCGTTCACGAATGCTGCCACGACCTTCTATCCCGCATCCAGGTCGCCTGCTGGGATAGTGCTGGTCTAGCTGTTCGTATTCCTTCGCCTCCTGAATAGCACGTCCTAGCCAAATCTCTCTGGCCCGAAAGCTTCTTCCTTGACCATGGCGGTCACGCAGGCTCGAGTCGTGTAGACGCAACGAGCCCGTTTTTTTGTGTTTTGTCATTGCGGGTATGTCAAATTTTATCGCTGTCATGCCGCCTCAGCTGCCGTTCAGGGGCACCAACGCCTCAGTCAGCAGCAGCCTCATTGCCTGCTCTGGCTGGGTTTTTTATTCTCTGGTGGGGCAATGTCACAGAGCTGTGCACACGCATGCATGGCCTGGACAAGCTGCAATTCCGGGCGCACATTTGCGGGACCCTTGCTGCATTGCTGCAATGCGTCGGGCGACGTCTTGTCACGCGACTTGGCACCCTCGATCTCGATCTCCCATGGCGGCCACCGAGCTCAGCTGGCGTCTGATAAGATAGCCGGCTCAGGAGACGCCGGACAAACAAGCGCGCGCTGTCAACTACCTGGACCGCTAATTTCCGAACCTCAAGCGCGCTCGGCCATGATCATGACATCGCCTGTATTGTTGGCACCGCACGATAAATCTTGACCATGGCCGTTTCTCTGTTTCGACTTTTGTTTCAACGTTCCCCTCCATATCATATCCCAACCAGATCCGTAGGTAGGTCCTTTTGTCACCTCATAAGATGCCATTGCATCGTCTCACGTTTATATCTGCTTCGATCCTTTGATCTGGACAATGTGACAGTGTACCGCAGCGGCAGCTGCTGATGCCGAACAGGGTAGTGTTCGGGAAAAGCAGCGAATACAACGAGCAGTTACAGTATATGCAACACCATGCCTTGAATAAGCGACCTACTACACAGTACACGCCGATGTCGTAGCCATGAGGTGTCGCTGTGACTGTTTTGGCCCACAATAGACACAATCTTACGAACCAAGACGGGACACGCGGGGCCATCTCCCGCATTTGTCGGAATATCGATCATAATATTGATCTCTCATGTTGTTTGGGCAAGGAGAGCGAGCCTTTTGGGGCATTACCGGAACTGGTAGGGTAGGCGATTGCGATCCGGTTGCTCGGACTCGGGTTCACAGCATGAACTAACGGTACAATGTCACCTGCACCTACATGCTCGCATGTTGGTTTGTTTTGATCTTATTAAAAAAGGTAGAAAAAAAGAAGCGTCTATCCCGTCACACACACCCTTCACCTCCAACCTGTTGCCACCGACCTTTTACCGCCCTTGGGACTAGTCTTCTTGGACCACATGCCCGCGAGCGGCGGGGCGCCCAGCGTGGCCGGGTCGGGCTCGGGGACGCCGCAGCGGACAGCCATGCTGCGCCAGCGGCCGCCGACGGCGCGGTCCTCGGGCTGGTAAACGGCCAGGTTCACAAACATGCGGCAGCCGCGCTCGGCGAACAGCCGCGCCTCGCACCCGTCGGCCTTGTTGGCCAAGAAGTTGCCGCAGCCCGCCGTGTCCGGCAGGTCGTAGCACACCTCCTGCGTGTGCAGCAGGGCCGCACCGCCGCCGCCGCCGACGCCAAAGTCGAGCGTCGTCATGGCGCCGCCACGGCAGGCCTTGGGGCCCGGCACGCCGCGGAAAATCGTGGCGCGGATGGGCAGTGCGGGTTTGGCTGGCCCGTCGTCGGACGCCGGGCGGTTGATGGACACCTGGCCCGTGTCCTCGTCGATCTTGGCCGGCGGCACGTTTGTCAGGGGCGGGTTCCCGCCGGGCTGCGGCACCACCTGGTTGTCGGCGCTGACGGGCCCGTTGATGGTGGGCCGGCTGAGCTCGTCGCCCATGACGCGGTCGATGGGGGTGCTGTCGATGCCGCCGGGCTGCTGTTGCAGGGACGGCTGCTGCGGCGACGGCAGTGGGTTCGCCGCGGCCTGGCCCGCCAGGAGCGCCACGGCGGCGACGAGGAGGACGTGGAAGAGAAGCGCCGCCAGCGGGAGGGAGCCCGCTCCATTGCCAAGCGGCCGGGCCTGCAGCATCGTGGTTCGATCTGGAGGGGGGGGGGGGGGGNGG